GAGTAATTGGCCGCTTTCCGGTGCATTGATGCTACGAAAATTCTAGTCAGCGCAGCATTGCAACGCGCATCCCCCCATAAGCTTAGTATTGTGTATAATTCAATTTAGTTATGTTCAGTGGCGGTCCCAGGGGGCCCGGCTCCCCCCCCTATTGTTCATTTTTTTCATCAGATTTATTCTTTTCCGTGTTGGGACAAAGTTCGGGTTTGGGCCCCTCCCTTTACCAAATCCTGGGACCGCTACTGTCAGTGGCGGTCCCAGGGGGGGGCCACGGGCCCCCTCATTCATTTTTTTCATTAGATTTCTTTCATTTTTTTCCATGTTGGGGCAAAGTTCGGGTTTGAGCCCCTCCCTTTACCAAATCCTGGGACCGCTACTGGTTATGTTACAAGAATAAAATTTATTTTTCGATTTATATGCCTTTATTTATTGACTGTACTTTTTCCTTTATTTTAAGCCAAGTTACATGCGTAGTAACTATACGAAATCAAGCCAAAATCAAATTCGGTCTCTCAGACCGAGGTCACCACTGGTGTTCCAAAATTTCACGTCACCACTGCAGGGTTAAAAACCCCTGTTAAAGTTTTTCTAGAAGTGCTCCAGAATTTGAGAAATAAATTTTTAAAGTTGACCACGCACATACTTCTAAATAGAACACCTAACTTTGACATCGCATTAAAGAAGTTACAGAGAGGTTGGAAGAAAACCCCCTATAGGGGTGATAGAAGGGATGTTCCCCTTTAAAACCCATGTTACAGTTTTTCTAGAAGTGCCCCAGAATTTGAGAAATTAATTTTTAAATTTGACCTTGCACGTACTTCTAAATAGGACATCGGTGATAGAAGGCATGTTCCCCTTTAAAACCCATGTTACAGTTTTTCTAGAAGTGCCCCAGAATTTGAGAAATTAATTTTTAAATTTGACCTTGCACGTACTTCTAAATATAACACCTAATTTTGACATCGCATTAAAGAAGTTACAGAGAGGTTGGAAGAAAACCCCCTGTAGGGGTGATAGAAGGGATGTTCCTCCTTTAACACCCTGCTCGCAGTTTTTCTGGAAGTGCCCTATCATTCGAGAACTTATGAGTGTGTTTGTTCATTCTTTTAAATGTGAACGTTGTGATTTAGGTAATTTTTGCTGTGCATGCGTGAGTTGTGGTTATGAAGCCGATTTTGCGTGATGATTGATGTCATTCACTTGAAAATGTTTGTTTATAATTTTCGGTGAAGTCCCAGACTATAATATAGGAAACCACGATCACTGCTTTTTTCATTCCATAAGAATCTCTCTTTTTGGTTATGTTATTGTGATCCTGTATATTGTACCTATAACGGTAGACAACTGCTATTTGCATTGCATGTAAGTGCACGTGCACGGCGTAGTAGTTACTGTTATGGAGGTGGTTATTGACAGTGGATCTATTACCTACTTAAAACCTTATATCTATCTGTATGTACGTGTGCGTTTACAATGAACGTATACAAAAATTCTTTTAAATGTGAACTTTGTGCTTTCTGTAATTTTTATTGCGCATGCGGGAGCTGTGGTTATGAACCCGATCTTGGCGGGCTAACGCCAACTTCAAAACACACCGGAATATTTGACCATATTCTGTAGTGAGGGAATGCCAAACTAACATGGCTGCCTATTTGAATATTCTCGCTTAAGTTTCCCGCGAGAATCTGTCACTCGGGGGCCACTCCGAGTGCACTAAGATCGTGATCGTCATGTAGGACACCTACGTTGTGTAATATAACTGGGTTCTCAGCAGGCACTGAGGGTGTTTTATGGATAAGGAACACCAAAAGTAAAAATAAATAGCTGATTAAGTTTATATTGAATCTAATACCAATACGATTACAGAGTGACCCGCATAATGGTTTTTAGCGGCGCCCCTGCAGAGGGTATTAGGTGGTTCTATACTACTCCGGCATTTACCTTACGAATTGGAAAACTGCAGGAAAACCTAATTCGGAGTAGTCCTATAATAAACATCTAATGTACAGCACTTTTGAGCCCCCTCGAAACCGGGGTAAATACTACAAACACGCTATGAGTAACCAAAATGGAATCGAGACATTCTCCAGGTATTACAACACATCATCAGGCAAAACTAAGAAGTGTTAAATATACCTCGACGGCCGGGAGGATTACCCAGGCCCTGTAGACATGGGCTAAAGTTGTTGGGTTCGGAACGAGTGAAAATGTTAGTGTTAGGTTCACCAAGGCCCGTATAAACTTGAATAACTCGATCCCCTCTAAACAAGCACACTTCCCTCTTGATTACTCCAGTCCCAAATAAGCAAATATAATGAAATGCAATGAAATAATCGAGAGTGACTAAAAAGCACAATACGCAAATATGTACACATGCAAGTATGTACAGCACAGATACAGCCCTACCGACAATGAAACATGACTGCCAATACCAACAAAGGTTACACATTAAGAGGTACAAGTGATTGAATCCAGTAAGTACATAAGTAAAGAGTTACAATCTACATTCAAGTTATGCACATTTATAGATTAATTGAATAAAGCAAATACCTCACCTGATACAAAAAAGCAAAAGGACACAGTTAAGGTATAACAAAATATTTCAAGACAAGCCGTACTTTACACTTCAGCCGGTTACAAGACAAAGACCATGAACACACATGTCAAATCCTATTTATTGAACAACCCAAGCCATTCGGTAATTTGATCTGCTAATACCCCTAAAAACCTCCCGAAAAAAAATTCTCAAAAGAAGGATTTGCGTAAATCGCAACATTCCTACACTCAAAATGTGCGATTCTCCCATAAGCTCAATAATAAATTTGGGAAAAATGGCGGAAATGAGCATATGGCCACACTGTCTTTATAGAGTCACTGTAATATGGGCACCGACAGCATAATACCTATTGGGCATTTACGAAAACTGGAGCGGTAGATCCACGATGGAAAATGTCGGTAAACATTTGATGATGACTGATGAGATGCGGTAACTTTGGTGCATGCCTGTTTATAGAACAATGCTTTTGTCATGTGTAAATGTAGCGCATAAATTTATAAACATATAGAGTAGGAAACAAAGATAGTTCCACAAACAGAACACCCTTCCCCATGTCAAAGGGTGCTGATAAATTATTAAACACAATGGAATAAGTTTCAATCTATAAAATGAACTAAAAATGCCGAAAATTACGATTTTTAGAAATAAACAGATATAGTTTCATCTGTCAAATCGCTACAGCGTTGCCGTCGTGACACACTAATTATCTTAAATTTTCTTATTAGGCCGTTTAATTTCAACTTATAATAGTTTGTTTTTCACCACCTTTATAAATATTTAAAAATCCATTTAGATCCTTTCTATATATCTATTATTAATATTAATTAAAAAATGGTTTCGCGAAATGTGACAAGTTCGCTTCCTGCAATATTTACAAACACGACGAGATTATGGCGCGTTTTGATAAGCATCAAGGCATCGCTATCTTTATTTCTTACTCTGAGATAAACAGCATATACCTACAAGGCTACATTAGCATATACTTACTACCATGAAAGTGTTTCGTAAGATCTAAGGTTTCGAATATAACAAAAAATGTACACAACGGAAGTCCTCTTGATAATTATTGAAGGAAAGCCAAAAAGATTGCAAAGTGAGGTTACAACTCTTGCACCTTTTTTTAGTGGCGCGCGTGGACCAACCAGATGAATACACTCCAATTAGTGATCCATTTCGTTAATGTGATCGGTACATATGGTAATAAAAGAACACTGTAAAATAATTACCTATCACATTTTCGAACGCTACGGTATATATACCGGGATCTACAGCTCCAATTTTTGTAAATGCCTCATAAATATATTACACCAATAGGCCTTCTAACCACCTCCATAACAGTGGCTACTAAGCCGTGGACTTGAATTTGGTTGGAAGTGGCTGACACATAGAAATTACCGTTAACAGGTACAATACACAGGACCACAAAAACTTATAACCAAAACGAAAAATTATGAAATGAATAAATTAGTAATCGTGGTTTAATATACTATTTAATCTGAAGACTTCGCCGAAAATAAATTACCAAACCTGTCGGCTGTCATGTGATTTAAGCTGAATTTATAGTTCCGTACCCGCAACACCGCACCGTACCGTAACGTTTGGAATTACTTGTTGCGCGTGAACATTTATAGTTCCCGTTTACGTTGCGTTAGAACGGTTACGGTACGTAGGAAATGCCCAAATCTTATTCCTTACGGTAAATCGCGCTAACGCGCCTGTCTTCGATAGTACTCGGATAATTCAAACAGTTGAGTTTATCCGGACGTTCGTTTCGTTTATTTACAGTAATTATTGACACTTTGTTGGTTATTATTATTTTGAAATGCACGTTACTCTTACTGACAGATGACATACAATGGCAGATAAATACGCAAGCTCATCTCTTACCACTACGGTAACTATAAATCGCATAATTTTCGTTAACGTCAGATTTTACGGTTCCGTTCTTACGGCTACGGAACTATAAAGCCGGATCCGGCTTTAATGTGAATAACTGCAACAATTACACAAAATCGGCTTCATAACCACAGCTCCCGCATGAGCAAAACAGATGACCAAAATCACAACGTTCACATTTAAAAGAATGACCAAAATACCCTTAATCATTAAGTTCTCGAATTTTAGGGCACTTCCAGAAAAACCGCGAGCAGGGTGTTAAAGAGGAACATCCCTTCTATCGCCCCTATAGGGGATTTTCTTCTAACCTCTCTGTAACTTCTTTAATGCGATGTCAAAGTTAGGTGTTCTATTTAGAAATGTGCTAGGTCAAAAAAATTAATTTCTCAAATTCTGGAGCACTTCTAGAAAAACTTTAACAGGGGTTTTTAAGAGGAACTACGCTTCTATCATCCCTGCGAGGACTTCTCTTTCAATCTGCCTTTTGGTATGTAGGGAAGTTACATTTCTCGATGTGTGGTTCACTTTTGAAATAAACGCTTCCAGATGACGAATAGGATAATCGTTTAATTATCAGGATACAAATTTTGTTGACAATATTTGTGTAACTTTGTTAGCGAATGACACGTCTTCGTTTACATACTACGGTGCACCCATCAAACAGAACGAGATACGTGTCTAACAATGTCTCACGTGCTCGTGTTTCTACACAGGTACATGTATTAGCATCTTGTAAATATACAAATCTCTCATTCAATGGAGATTACATATTTAACTAATCGTGTTAGTAGATATATCACGATTGAACTCGACATAATTTCCATTACGAAGGAGCATCAACTTGTCGATGTGCTTGTTCCTTACAAGAGTCGTAGAACATGAGCTTCGTTCCATTAACACGGTTTATCTCTGGACTCTTTATCCATTATTAATTCCCACGAACCTGTAACTGTTCACTCAATTTGCATTACAGGTAAGAATAAGTGAAATTTGAGATTACCTATTTTTATAGCGACAGCGTACACCTCCAATTTATTGTTAAGGGGACCCGGCGCCTCTTGCACATCTTTCGATTTCCATCGGCCTTTTTCTTGCTTTATATTAAACAATATTGCGCAGCAGGTGCAAATCCTACATTCATTGTTTACTGTTATCATAAAAGGAATCGTAAAATTGGACTTACCGAATATGTACGTAAAAACTGTAAAGGTCACGTGTGACCGACGTAAATAACCCAATAAATCGCTTGCCTTCTCAAAATTGATGAACGTATAAATAATCCATTTATACGTTCGATGTAAGTAACAATCAATAACAGCTGTTTTGTTTTTGCGCAACCGCAAATAAAACGTACCTACGACCTACGGCTACTTTCCTTCTCTAACGTAACTGCGCATTTGCATGCAGAGTAGTTTTCATTCATACCATTTCCATTTGATACATTAAATTTGTGTCTTATTCTTATGCGTTACATTTTATGCAGACCGAATTTCCATTGTATGTATAAGCACATTTAAAATGCGCTGTATTTTAATGCGGTGTATCGCATAGAAATGATTCACAAAATAATTCGACGTTCATTTTAATTAAAAGATGCACTATTAAATTCATTGGAATTCAATGCTACATCTTAAACTTCGATTTAATTTTTATGCCATACCTTACGAATAATTTCATTTCCATAGGTAATGTCGCAACGGGTATCTATTTTAATCCCATACGTGAATAACGTTTGTTCTTTAAAGTGCATATATACGAATTTCAATGCATGCGATTTAATTTGATATACGCATGAGAATGGTTTACATTTTTTTTGGATGCAAACATACTCGACTCAATTTTATTTAATATCAATTCAATTACACACAGCAGCAAATGTATTTCACTTCTGGTATAGCTGGACAGTTCCAAATAAATGCCTTATGTGTTTAAATCTTTTATAGAAATTGCTATTTATTTTGATGCATGACAATTAAATTGGCAATGTTTAATATTCATCTCTGTCATCTTGTAGTGTTTTAGGATTCAAACGCTGAAATCCATATTAACATTTCTTACATTTGCATACATTTGGCTAACATTTTTTTGAGATGTTGAATTTGTTGGTAACAATTCAATTGTTATTTAAATATCTTCATATACGTTATAAATGTATAATAAATAGTAAAACGGCGCACCATAATTGACAGTGTTCCCATTATATTCTCAGTTCAATCTCTGTCGCGCTTTATTTCCACGGGGTTAGGCTTCTTATAGTGTTTTTATTCAATATGGTTCCATTGAGAGCAATTTTCACATAGATTTCTTCAGTTTCTCGTGCAACACTCGTGCAGTACGAGTTTTGCCAATCGAAAACGCTATACGATATCTAAGGCTGTTATGATTGCCATAACATCAGCGGTTTGTTCAATACTTTATCGGTTGCAGGCGCACAATCCCCTATTTTTAAGACAATTTCGTAAATTTGATAACCAAACAATTTTATCGTAATCATCAAACAAAGTTGCCGTACATGTCAGTTGCTATGTTAAAATTTGGTTGTTATGGTTGCGAGTGTTGCTAATCAACAAAACCTAATTTTTCATCTGATTAATTAGAAAATGAGTAGGTACCTTAGACCATATAGTACTATATGGTCTAAGGTAGGTACTGTACATTCGCCTGAAAACGTACGAGAAAGTGCTAACGAAGCTTTTAAGTCTCTTAATTCCAACTAAATCGAAAGTTCGATATGAAATATGCCGATTTTCAGGACTGGGGAAAATACGATCAATTTCTCATGTGCAAGGTACAAACATGTCAGAAACTTACGTATATGCTTGTCTTGTAATGCTTTTTTTCTAGGTAGCAGCCGTTTTACAGTTTGGGCGCAAATGATGTTAAAAGTGAAGATGTCCTTATTGTTACAATTAACAAATCAAAAACCTATACCTAAATCTCGATTTTTCATTCTCATCCCACAGGACTCTATTAATTATGTGGAAATCGTCAAAAAATATATGGGTTTGAGACCACAACATACGAAATAGAACCATTTCTGGGTTTCTACAATTGCGGTAAATGTAGTACCTACTCAGAGGATTTTTTCTAATAAAGTTATAACCATGTTATAACTATAGTTTTGTTTAATGGTATGGTAAAATATTACACTACTCATTTGTCATATTATCATACTCACTTGTCATTTTATATATCAATGTGGTTACGATGTTGTTTACAAGCGAACTTTTTGACAATTTATGGACGATTATACGGATTATACCGCCTGCAACCGATAATAGTATATTATACAGTGAATTTTTTTTAAATGGGAACAGGAATTTGTATGCAATGTAATTTCCCTATGTTCGATTTAAAAAAAACACAACAATCTATTGAGTAGTTCAAATGAGTAGTAGATACAATTGACAGCTGTCACATTTTTAAAAATACCACCATCCAATTTAATTACGAAATCGGTTAGGTTATTGCTTAGAATGTCAAGGAGGACACTTCGAACATTTATTGTAATTGTTTTCGTTATTTATTTTCTTATTTTCTTCATTTATGTATTGAATAGATCAAATTAGTAGAATACCAGGTGCACATGACCTACAAATAATTGAAGGTTGGTTCACAATGAATTGTGATGTCAGCGCGTGCCATCTGCCATGTGAAGTCAAGTTATCGTAAGTTTAAGAAAAATGTATCCTAAAGTTGTTATGGCCTCACATGGCATCTTTAAAAAATCTTACCGAGTGCTCTTCATCATAAAGGCTATAGAGTTGCTGTTCATAGTCACACAATTTGTGCGATTTGGGAATGTGAACCGCGCACACCTCATAGATTGATGTGTTTTTTTTAAAATCGAACATAGGGAAATTACATTGCATGCAAGCTCCTATGTTCGCATTTAAAAAAAATTCACTGTATACCTACCGCGGGACTGAAGTAGTACTTTTAATCCCGAAGGTAAAGTTTATGGCCCGACCGAAGGGAGGGCCATAATTTACCTGAGGGATTAAGACCACTACTTCAGTCCCAAGGTATATATGATATTTTTCGTACTGAAGCACTTAATATGTATGGATAGGAGTTAGAGAACGCGTTCTTTCAAAAAATCGCTGCTTAACAAGTTACCATAGGAACGTTTCGTTGGTACGACAATCCCTATGCTATGGTAACAAAAATAAATTGGAAACTGTCATTGCTAGTGCCATAATTTTGGTGGTGGGTGACAAAGGTGTATTTGATATTGATAAAAAGCAGCCAAACTAGGTAAAGAATTGATACCACCGAAATCCAAAAAACTATATGAGCAGCAGTACGATGCGTTGCCGCATACAAAATGTGGAACAACCTACCCAAATTGCCTTGTTAGTAATATCATCCTTCCGGGATTTTCGTCCAAATTTAATACCGGCGGGACAAAAAGTGACACTTCAGGACTTGTCATAATGAAGTGAAGTCACTTTAGTCTCGGAAGTACGAAAGCAATAATATGCCATTTTTCCGGCTATCGACTAAAAAAAGTGTTGTGTGGCGGATGTAACGATAAAATATTGTAACGTTATTTATAAATTCGGGTTCGATTTATATCAATATTTATTAAACAAAACTAAAACACTATAAAAACCGTACAATTTATATCGATTATTTATATCACACACACTTCGCAATTTATATTTCCGCGCTCGATGTTTCGTCCGTACTCGTTCGGTAGTAGACTGCCGCGATGTTCGGTCCGCAACCATTTATACACGCAAGCAATGTAAGTCCAGTACATTCTCGAATGTTCCTACTATCGCGCGCGTAGAAATTTCCAGAGCGCCAAAGGCGACGTCATGTCTGGAGCATTTCCGTTACACTGCCCCCTTCTTAATTCTGAACGTCTCGTTCAGAAACTGCGTTAGTATTACTTTTTAATGCCTCGTGTCGGAATCTGCAGTCAGAGCCTGCTCGACAAACACCTTTCTTGAAAAAGTAACAGTCCACAGTTGTGCGGAGGGTCGTCCCCTGTGGGTTGAAGCAGCATACTGTAATTCGAACGCTAGTGTTTCTAAAAATCACTTCGATCATGGTTCGCACTATCTTCCAGTCCAACCCATCTAAACCACATCCAATCTTCGGCATCGCCAAGCTATTTATGTCATAGTATGCCATGAGTTTCTTCAAGTTTTTTAAAGCAGACCAGAGGTTTTCATAGGTGGGTTTGCCTTCTGACGTTTTCTTTGAAACCAAGTAGAACAAAGAGCGTTGACTATCTTCCAAGCGCAGTACTTTACCCACTCGTGGTCTTTGCTTTATCAACTCGTCTATTCTTCCAAATCTTTTCCGGAATACGGAAGCCATACCTCTACCCATGCGAAGGTCTTCGGCGACACAATGGGCGATGGAAACGTTAACCGGAAGCTCAAAAATATTTTGACAAATTTCCTGAGTAACGCCAAACCGAGCTTTCTTCCGCTGGGCGTAATTTGACATAAAATTGTTAAAGTTTGGCTCGATCTCAAAGCTGCGTTCCTCTTCTCGAATACCCCTAACTTCTTCGTTGTTGTTGGATCCGGCATATCGTGCGAGTCGATTAATGTGGACAACTTTCGGTTTCCGGTGGTTCATTCTGATTCGATACATCACGTCATTTATTTTCTTGATCACCTCATACGGACCTTCCCATTGTCTTTGTAGCTTGGGAGAAAGACCTCTTCGCCTCTGTGGATTGTGCAGCCATATCAGATCTCCAACTTCAAAAGTTTCATTGGCCGAGCGGAGGTTGTATTGATTTTTCATGCGATCGCTGGCAATCTGAATATGACTTCTAGCCAAGTCGTGAATGTCATTCATCTTCGCCTTTAGTTGGTCAACATAATTTTCACCTGCGACATATTCTTCATGGGGTTTACGCCCAAACTCGAGGTCACATGGAAGGCGTAGTTCACGACCCAACATAAGGGAGGCAGGAGTCTGACCCGTGGTCTCGTTGACGGCTGATCGATATGCCATAAGGAACAGGTGGAGGTACTGGTCCCAATTTTTCTGATGTTCTGCCACGACTTTTGAAAGATGTTTACCCATCGTTCGATTCATTCTCTCCACCATTCCATCTGACTGAGGATGCAAAGGTGTTGTTCTGGTTTTATTGGCTCCTACCAATCGACAAACATCTTGGAACAAAGCCGATTCAAAGTTCCTTCCTTGGTCGGAATGGATTTCTATAGGAACACCAAAACGTGTAAAGAACTCCTTTACCAACACTTCTGGAACTGTTGCTGCCTCTTGGTTTGGAATGGCGTAAGCTTCAGTCCACTTTGTGAAATAATCCATAGCGACTAGGATATATTTATTTCCGCCATCTGTCTCGGGAAACGGTCCTGCAATATCGATAGCAACTCGTTCCATCGGACTACCAACGTTATACTGCCTC